CCTGTGCCTTGCTAAGCTTGTTCTAAGTAGGTGCTTTAGACCACTGAGCCATCTCACCAGCCCACATAGGGCTACTTTGAGGGTCAGCTGATGTCATAGTTCCCGGCAGAGTGTCGGGCACACCCCCAAGTGCTTCATTAGGTTTCTTGTCACCTAGTACAGTATCATGTCACATAAGCAGTAACTCTTTACATCCTGTCCGCATCTGTTGGTCATCCTGGGGTCAGAGACCCCTGTGACCCAGTGGGCTCTGGCCCAGGCAAGTGGGTGGCTGATGGCAAATATGGGGACTCTGTTCAGGTCTGGTTTCCCACCACTGCCACTGTGGTATATTTCTTTACTTGTGTCCATTTATAAAATTTTGGCAGCGAGGGCCCTTCTGATGATCTGAATTACCCACAATGCTGCCAGGTTGTCACCACGTGCTCTCAATGGGAAGAGGCCATTGCGCATGCGGAAGCTGAGGAGCGCACCCCTCACATGACTCTTTCCCCAGACTGTCTGCTCTGGCAGTGGCCTCCACCCCACCTCCCTGAGAAGGGCAGAGCCGACCTTCCTGTCCTCTGTCCTCAGCTGATCATTGGGAACTTTGGCCTCAGCTTCGAGCAGGCCCGGGCCCAGATGGCCCTGTGGACAGTGCTGGCGGCGCCCCTCTTCATGTCCACGGACTTGCGTACCATCTCCGCCCAGAACGTGGAGATTCTGCAGAATCCCCTCATGATCAAGATCAACCAGGACCCCTTGGGTATCCAGGGGCGCAGGATTGTTAAGGTACTGGGGTGTTGGGGGCAAGGTGGAGGGGGATGAGGAGCCAGCCTTCCTGGAAGATGAGGCTGCTGCCTGAGGGCGAGATGGGGCTGCGTCTGGGAGGTCCCCTCCTGGTTGGATGCAGTCGAGGACACTACTGGAGGCAAGCAGGGCCACAGCAGGACAGCTGATGGGAGTCAGGTGGGGGCACATCATCATGACACAAGCACACGGGGATGCACAGGTGATGTCCCTCAGAGAAGGAGCACTTCCCTCTCGGATTTAAGGCACTGTTTCAAAGACTGTCCTACCAGTGTCTGTTTATTGAGCACCTACTATGTGCTAGGCATCATAGCACATTTTCTCAGCAAGGCGGATATTGTTCTCCTGGTTTCCAAATGAAGACATGGAAACTTCCAAAATGTAGGCAACTTTCCCCAAGCCTCCTATACAGCGCATACAACAGCCTTCCGTAGGACGGGACACACCCTCGAGGCCAACTCTGCTGTTGCCCCCCACCCCATGTGGCACCCACGCCAACCCGACACAGCAGCCGTGCTGGGCAGCAGTCACGCGTTGTTTCTGTGTCCGACCCTCCCATGCTCCTAGGAGTTTCCGAGCGGGGCCTCATGCAGCATTTGTGTCTGAGCCCTAGCGTGGGGCCTGGCACGGGGGCGATGTGAGTGTTTGCTGTGTCAGGGAAGGAAAGTAGGGTTGGCGAAACAGGGATGCTACAGGACAGTGCCTCGTCCCCAAGCTTATGTGTGACATAGAGCTGGGGTGGGGGTGGCACAGACCTCAAAAGCAGGCTGAAAAGTACTCCAGCCAGTAGCCATCTTTTGCCCAGGAAAAATCGCAAATTGAAGTGTTCATGCGACCCCTGTCTGATGAGGCCAGTGCCCTGGTGTTCTTCAGCCGCAGGACAGACATGCCTTTCCGCTACCGTTCGTCCCTGGGCCAGCTGCAGTTCCCTGGCTCCAGAGTGTATGAGGTGAGCGCCCGGCCGCTGCAGCCCAGGCCCAGCCTCTGGCTTCCTGCTTGCCTGCCAGGGTGTTGCTTGGGGTGGTACTCATGCCCACGGGGCTTCCCAGGCCTCTGACAGGTACCCATGGGGGTCTTTCTCAGCCCTGGAGTTTCCACACTGCAGCATGCAGCCGCTGTGTACAGAGGAGGCCCGTTGTCTTCCTAAGCTGCTCACTGGCCAGCCCTCGCTAGCCGGGGCCTCAGGGTTTCCACTGGCTGGGGCTTGCTCTGCGGCGAACCAGTGAGGGGAGTCTGGGGCTCCAGCTCCCGCAGGGCAGACTGGAGTCCCAGACAGGCAGGCCCCAGTCTAGGCTTCTCCATCCTCGGAGGGACAGTCTTGTGTTCTTGTACTGACGGCGCTTCCCCGTTGCAGGCCCAAGATGTCTTCTCGGGGCAAGTCATCACAGGCCTCAGAGACAAAACCAACTTCACAGTGATCATCAACCCTTCGGGAGTAGTGATGTGGTACCTGTATCCCATCAAGAACCTGGAGATAGCCGAGTGGAAGTCCCAGGAATGAAGAGACAAGGCAGAGCACAGGCCGCTGTGGCCCCGTGGAGCTCGCAGCATGCAGGCTGGGCATGCCGGGGCGGGGGGGTAGAGCCCTCTCTTCCCCGGGCCTGCTTGGCCACCTGACCCCGTCATTCCTGAAGTGCAGTCACAGGCCCAGGCTCCGTGCTCACCCCAGTGGGAGCACTCTCGGAAACTTCCCTCGGGGGAATTTCCTGTGCTTGTCGGCCTCTACCTCATCCCATGGCCTCACAGATGTTGCTGAACGACGTGTGCAGCCTCCTGGGCCCCAGCGGCGGGGGCACTGATGCCTAGCAGGACCCGAGCCTCTGGCCTTGTTGGTTCCAAAACCAGGATTAGGAATTTTTCTGACGAGAGGTAGAGATCCGACCTCTTGTCAAACTCCCATGAACTGTGTCATTGGCTAATAGCACCTGGAGGGCGGGTCACAAGGGAGACCCTGAGTCCCTTTACATCACCAATAAAGCTGTTCTTTAGATGCGTAGTTATAAGTGAACCTGCAGTCGTGTGCAGTTAGGGACTCTGGTGACACTGCACAGGACGCTGGCTTCAGATCTCAGCTCCTGAGGAAGATGTATGGCATGTGCTAGCCCCTTACTTTACACACTGACTTGCAGGTTATACTTTCCAGAAACACTGGCTGTGTTCTGCCTGATGCCCGTGTGGGTGGGTGCCACACTACGAGCGACAGTTCCCATGTCCCTAGGCCCTGTGGCCTGCACTCTGCCGAGCACCCCTGGCCCCAGCACCCAGCCTCTCCCCTCTCTCCATCTCCAGGCCTTGCTGAGTTGCCCAGGCTGGGCTCGTACTTGCAGTCCGCCCAGACTGGCAGGTTCTCCACCGCCTTCCTCTGACTCATGTCTCCCAGGTCCTCCTCTCTGGGCCCAGGCCACAGGACTCTGTCTTCTTGGGCCTCTTTCTCCCACTGGAAAAGCCGGTGGGCCTCAGATGGGGGCCCTAGGCCTCGTGCTTTCCTGTCCTGTGAGACCTAGGCAGATCGCGCCTCCTTTCCCTCGAGGTCTTGGGATCTTTGTTCGTGGAGTATGCTATGAAGAACTCGGCGGCACACACTTCATAATGCCACGGAAGACTCCTGGAGCTTTGTTGGTCAGTCACCACAGAAAGCTCCCTTTCTCTGGTTGGTGTCTCACTGCGGTCGAGTCTCCAGAGAACAGAACCCACCCTGTCTCAGGCCTCTGTTCCTGAAGGGCTGAGTCTGTTCAGCTCTAGCCTTGGATCTTACTCAAAGTATGCTGTTCAAGCCAAATGGAATGGAATGGTGTCAGGTAGGCGCACCCTTCCCTTGCCAGCTCTACTCTAGGAAAGAAGCTGGACATGGAGGGATGTGTGTAGCGGGTAGAGACCCTGACTTGGGAGCCAGGCCAGGTTTGAGCTGGATTTGACAATCATTTCCCAGCCGGATATGGTGGCGCACGCCTGTAATCCCAGCACTGTGGAAGCTGAGTCAGGAGGATCATGAGTCTGAACTGCATAGTGAGACCCTGTATCAATAAAAAAGAAAAAAAAAAAATTGAAGACAAATCGTCATTAGAGACCATAGAGATTTTATGACGTTAAATGGGTGAATCCATCAAAATATATAAAAAGTATAAATTTGCTTGCACCTAGCAAAGGAGTCTAAAAATACATAAGGCAAAGGCTAAAAGATTTAAAAAGAAATAGAAAATTCAACAATTATTATGGAACAGAATAGAGAACAAAAAGAAAACCCATACATCTACAAATCTACTGATGGTTTTCTCCATTGCTGAGGACTAGACCTGGAGCCTTTGCACTGAGTTATTCCCTGAGCCCCTACACACATACATACCTTTATTTAGGTGTTTTGAGACAGGGTCTCACTATGCAGTTCGGGCTGGCCTTGAGCTCCCCGACACGCTCTTGCCTCAGCCTCCCGAGTGCTGGGGTACCACCTGGCCCAATTGGTTTTTATGAAGGTGCTAAAAACACACAATTTGAAAAGGACAAATTTTTCAATAAATTGTGCCGGGAAACTATGTCAATATGCAGAAGAATGGGATTAAATTCCCTCTCACCAATTACAAAAATCAACATGGGTTAAAAACTAAACATTGGGAATTGGAGAAAAGGAAGGGCTGCATGGTTAGCCAACATTTTGGCCCTCGCCTTTCAAGGTCAGTGAAGACTC